TCCGCCCGCCTGCAGCTCGCCCCGATCCTGCCCACGAGTGTAGGGTCCCCACCCCTGATTTACGTGGACAGAGCGCTAGGGAATGGTGCCGGGCGGACAGTCCTGGAGAATGAAGAACCGGCCCCGATCGGCCAAGCCCTCCCTTGCCCGGCCCCTCTGGACCTCACAGACTTAGGACTTTATGGCCAGAAGCACCATGATCTCCCTCCCCCCTCTAAGTTTTGCTGCTATTTTTTTTTGGGGGGGGGGGGGGAATAAAAAAGGGGGCATGATGCCAAAAAGTCTGGGAACCACTAGTCGGAGCCGCACGTCGCAGGCTGCAGCCGATCGGCCAAGCCCTCCCTTGCCCGGCCCCTCTGGACCTCACAGACTTAGGACTTTATGGCCAGAAGCACCATGATCTCCCTCCCCCCTCTAAGTTTTGCTGCTATTTTTTTTTGGGGGGGGGGGGGGAATAAAAAAGGGGGCATGATGCCAAAAAGTCTGGGAACCACTAGTCGGAGCCGCACGTCGCAGGCTGCAGAACCCGACGCACCCGCTCCTGTAACCACGCCCTGACCTCTGCCTGAGTCACCGACGTCCTCGACTCGTGATGCAGAGACTTCACGTTACAGAGAATCCACTGATTAAACCTCCAAGTGACCTGTGTCCCAGGCAGCAGAAGGCGATGAACCACGCCCCCTTCCCTGCCCCCCCCTCCCAGCAAGGGTCTCTGCCACACTAACCTGGGAGAAAATTCCTTCCAGACCCCAACTATGGCCATGGTCAGACCCGAGCATGGGGGCAAGACCCAGCAGCCAGACACCCGAGCAAGGATCCTCTGGAGTAACTCAGAGCCCCCCTGCCGAGCGTCCCATGAGGGGCCACAGGAGCGATCTGCCGTTAGCAGTCGCCGATCCCGGCGAGCCATGTCGCAGCACCCTCCATCAACCTCACAAGCTCAGTCTGGAAGGCAGTTCACATGCTTTGCCCTCACCACTCCCCAGACCTGGGCTCCCGGGAATGAATTCCCAACATCCCTATGGCTAAATAAATGTGCAGAGTCAGTCGCATGTTACCCAGGCTTCCCTCTACCCAGCTCAGCTTGTGCCTGGGCCTGGTCTCTCCTTAGCCACATCCACAAGCTGCAAAAGGCCCACACGTCCTCGGTGGCCTCTCCGCATTAGGCAGACAATTGTTAGGAAGTACAAAGCAGTTAATCGCTTAAACCTCGTTGGGTGGAGCTGCTCCGGCCAGACTAGCTTGCCTGTGCCTGCAGTGCACCGGGCCAGGCCCACCACAGATGGGGGCAGTTCCAGCCAGGTAGGAATGCCCCTGCATACCGCACATCGGGCTAGACCAGAGCAGCCCCCTGCCTGCTGCAGCCCCTGCTGGTTACCCATAACTGGCAAGCATCAGCCCCGGGAAGGGTTATGCTTACCAGTTAACCATTCACTTCCCTAGTAGAAAGGGCTTAAATGCACCTGCATACTTGCCTATTTCGTTGGCAAGCATCACTGAAGAAACAGACCAAGATTTTCAGAAGTGACTAGAGATTGTGGATACCTTCGTTTCTGGGGGCCTCCCTTGAGGTATCATAAAAGGGCTTGATTTTCGGAGGGAGGGTATGAGACCCTTTCAAAATGTCTCATTGGATACCAAGGTGCCCACAATCACCAGCTGCCTCCCTCACTCTGCAAAAGCCACCTCCGTCACCTTTGCTTTGGCAAGAAGCTTTGCCGAGCAGTGGCCGAGAGAAACTGAAAGGCGCTGCTCAGTTTGCTAGAACTGAGCCACAAGAAAACGGACAAGAACGAGACCACTTGCATGCTGCCACGGCTCGGGAAAGCGAGGGCTGAGCGTTCAGCATGGTTCGAAGGACAGCATCGCCCCCACTGCATTTCTCATGATACCTGCGCACCCCTGGGACATTCCACCCCCAAACACTGACCTCCTGCTTTGTCTTGTCAGCTCAGAGAGGACAACAGAAAAGGGGGTGTGACTGCAGGCTTATGAAACCAGACAACAATATCTGAAAACAGATACCACCTCCTGGATTCAGAAATCTGCTTTCCCAGAAGCAGGCAGGTGCTGTTCTTGGCCACAGGCCGCGTGCCCCATTGCATAGATCTTACCAGTTAGCCCGATCTTCTTCCGGCACGTGAAACAGCGATTCTTCTTCTGTTTGGGTTTTTCTTCAGCCTTCTCCCCCTCTGAGGAGTTCTGGGATATTTCAAGGAGGGTCCCTGCAACAAAGAGAGGAGGGGAGAATTCCTTTACCTCCCTTTCACACCTGGAAACATCTCTAGGTATTGATTTTGTTCCACTAGCGCTTAGAGCCCTAAAGGTGATGGGGACCCCACTGTACTAGGAGCCGTACATAAGCACGGCGAGAGAACACCTCCCCCAAAGAGCTTACCACCTAGACAACAGAGAAGGACAAGAAATTATCTCCATTTTACAGATGGGGTATAGAGAGATCACATGACTTGTCTGAGCTCCACTTCTCCGGCATCCCAGTCCAGGGCCTTAGCTAAGCTTAGCTGTTCACATGTACACAGCATGTCTCATCTGTAGGGCTCCAATACTTTACACAGGTAAGTAAGCAGCACTAGCCCAGTTCTACCCATGGGAACCCTGAAGCTCAAAGGGCCACGTTTCTAAGATATTTAGGTGCCTTGTTGGAGTTCGGCACCTACCTAGCTGAGGCACCATGCCCCTGTCTACTTCTTCAAGTGCCTGAACACCTTAGAAAGGTGAGCCCTTGAAGACACAGACAATATCTATACCATAGCTGTCGGCGTGGGCCGCGAGCCGCGGCTGGCGTGGACGTGAGCCGCGAGCCGCGGCTGGTGCGGGCGTGCTCACACTGGCTTTAACCTTGTTAGCTCGCTGAAAACAGCCATGAGGCGGGAACGCCTGAGCAGGCAGCACAAGCATGTACATGCCCCGGAGAGCAAGGAAGTCTTGTGCAGGCCATGCAGTCACAACCTCAGGGCTATTTTTAGCCAGAACACAGAGAGTGCAGGTACGTTGATGTGAGCGGCAAATCACCCCCACTGCAGCGCAGACCTACCTTCAGCTGGGACTCGCTGCTGCTGACACAGCAAGTCAGTGGCCTGAAGAGAAAATGGGTTTCGCAAATCCCTGTCCAGTGTCCTTTCCCCCGGACTAGGCTGTCGCTGTCTTTGGGCTCCTCACCAGACCCAGCCGCGCCCTTGCTCCACCTTAACCCACCCTTTCCAAGTTCTTGCCCCGTGCTTGCCACTCTACGCGGGCCAATGGTTAAATACGGCAGCAGGATCCAGTTTAAAGGCCACCAACGCTGTTTGTAAAGGAACAAATGGGAGATGTGGGTTAACTCCCTGTGGATCAAGACTGTAGGAGGGTATCCCATGGCCACGTGTAGGTCAGGTGTGGTCCCAAACCAACGGTAACTGATCAACCAGAGGCTGCTCCCTGCCTAGTACTCGCTCTCGCACTCCCCCACTTTACAAACATCTCTGCAAGGCAGGTGAGTACTAACACAGCCATTTTCCTAGAACACTAGAACTGGAAGGGACCTCGAGAGGTCATCATGGCCAGTCCCCTGCCCTCATGGCAGGACCACACACCGTCTAGATCATCCCTGACAGGTGTCTGTCCAACCTGCTCTTCAATATCTCCAGAGATGGAGATTCCATAACCCCCCCATGGCAATTTATTCCAGTGTTTAGCCACCCTGACAGGTAGGAAGTTTTTCTTAATGTCCAACCTAAACCTCCCTTGCTGCAGTTTAAGTTTTTCTCCCTCCTCCTTTTAGATACTTGAAAACCGTTATCATGTCCCCTCAGTCTTCTCTTTCCTAAACTGAACAATCCCAGTTCTTCCAGTCGTCTCTCATAGCTCATGTTTTCTAGACCTTTAATCATTTTTGTTGCTCTTCTCTGGACCTTCTCCAATTTCCCCACATCTTCCTTGAAACATGGTGTCCAGAACTGGACACAATACTCCAGTTGAGGCCTAATCAGTGCAGAGTAGAGTCCTCTGCTATTAACCTTCACTGGATTGACTGCCACTCATCCCTCAAGAGAGATGGCCCGGAACTACAGCAAGGAGTCAGGCAGTCAGCTGCTTCCAGGCCTCCTGACATTTAAAAAGACAGGAATCACGGAGGATTAACTGGCCGACAGATATCTGAAGGTCAGTGACTAGTCAGTTCTCAGCCTACAGAGTGATCTATTAGGCTCCGTCCCCAGGCAATGAGGAAACAGCTTTTTTGACCCTTTTCCCTAGATCTCAGCTATAGATTGTAAATGTACGACTCTCCCCTGTGCTCCTGGCTGGCACTCTATTTGCTGCTTAAAACGGAATAGTTACACTGGTCTCCTTTATAGTCATGCCAAGTCTTAAGCAGCTGCCTACCTGATGAGGAAGACACCGGTGAAGTTTCTTCTGTGTTGCTGTGTCCGACCGTCTCGCTGCTGGTCTCCTCTCTGGATATGCTCATGGCCGTCATCTGATGGGTCACAGGACTCTGAGAGCTGGGAGCATTCACCACAACCAAAACCACAGAGCAAACAGAAATATTTCCCTCTCATGAGCAGTTAGGCAGGAGGCATCTTCAGCCCCTAAAATTAACCTCATTACCGTCCCCGAGAACACAGCGGCATGGTAGGGCTTTCCTTCTCCGGAGACGTGGGTTCCAGTGTCTCGGAGGAGACAAGGGAAACGCATGGGTTATGAGCTCAGCTTCCCCCTACATCCCAAAGCCACGGACATGAGCGGTCCAGGACTGGAATAGCTACAGGTCCGGCAGTGGCAGAGCACAGTGAGAGTTGTAGGGGCGCTGATAACCAGATAACTGGATGACCTCCCATGGGTGTAAGGTATGGTGTATCTGGGACAGACCGATGGGATGTGAATACAGAGGGTGTTTGGGATCATGGCCAGTGTGCACCAGCAGACCTGGGTGTGCAGAAAGCTGCAATGGTATTTCTATTTACAACTTAGTGTTCTAGGTCAGAAACCCACTTCTTTTTCTCCCCCAAAGAATCTAAACCCTGGATTTTCTCCTCTTCCCTGATAGGCCTGATTCTCCTGTCACTCAATCCAGCCCTCGGGGGGGGGGAGGGGGTTCCTAGACCACCCATCACCCTCGTATCCACATACTGTACAGTATGTTAACTATGCATAGGGATGTCTATTGTTGACTTCCCCAAGTGTTGTGTTCCTCTATTGCTCTTTACACAAGCCTAAGAAAGTCAGGCCCTGTGGCTTGCTTGTACAGAGAGGCTGCTCCTCTGAAATGAAGCAGATGGGAAGGAAAGGGATCAGACGGGGCTAACCTCAGTGAAACTCCAAGCAGTAGCAAGGAGGACATGGAGGTGGAATGACAAGCACAGGTGCATGCCACCTACGACCTAACCCCATAGATCAGCCAGTCACCTATGGGCATTAGGAGCTTGGGGGGCTGGCCCTGGTGCCTGGGCAGTGAACACTGAGTCAGCGCCCCCTTCAGACCCAGACTGCTTTACAAAAGCTAATCAGCTGCACAGCAGGGAATAAAAGCCTCTCTCCGGGTCCCACAGCTATCGCTTGGAGATATGCGCGGAGTTTCTTGCCCGTACCTGGCTTTCACATCTTCAGGCGTGGGGTCTCCCTCTGGGCCTTGCCCTGGGATAGAGTCAGAAGCCACAGGGCTGCTGCTGGGACAATTTGCTGCTAAGACAAAAAAAAAACCCAATTCTCAGTGAACTCTCAGACATATCAGCAAGCTCCCCAGGCGTTAGTCAATAGCCACGGGACAGCAGGCCAGGCTCGGGAACGAATTCCTGATTCACTTGGGGTCCTTCACAGCCAGACTCACAAAACCCTCCTTGCTACCCCATGCAGGTGTTGCCATGGGAGCCAAAGGGATCAACAACAGTGGATTCGGCTGCTCCTCAGCCTTTGACCGAAGATAAGAAACTACCCCCAAAGGCTCAGCAAGCTCAACTCCCACTGGCTTTAACAGAAGGCTGCTCAGCCCCCCACAAGATCAGGCTTCCATAACACCGGACACAGCAGCAGTTCTCTGACAATCCCCCACTCAGTTCCTGGGTACTGAGAAACCAGCCTCAGTCCAGCCATGGCCTTAGAAAGGGCCCTTAAAGGGACGCCACAGGCGCTTACCTTACTGTGAACCCCGATGTTATATTTCTACTGCTTAAAGCAGGGGTGGGGAACCTTTTTGGGCCAGGGGCCACTGACCCACAGAAAAATCAGTCGGGGGCCATACAAAAGTGAGAAGGGACTGAGAAGCAGGAAGACATTTCCCTCACACACCAAAGCCCAGGAGGGCCTGGGTTAGTAGATTTTGGAGCCCTCCCAAGCCTCCACCCCTGGGCCAGGCAGAGCTCATGGGCTGGATCAGGCTCTGGCTTACCTGACTCCAGCCTGCTAGGCTCGGGCCTCCTCCCCTGCAGCGGGAAACTGGCACTGATGCTCCAGTCCCATGGGAGCTGTGGGGCTAGAACATCAGTGTGGGCTCCCCAATGATGAGGTGGGAGCCCCCAGTCTCAGAGGCCAGATCCAGGAAGCAGGGGTCAAATTTGGCCCCTGGGCCTTATGTTTCCCCACTCTTGGCTTAAAGCTAAACGATCGAATCCTTGGCTGTTGTAAAACAGTGTCACCCCACTGGCGGCAACAGAAATATCCTGATTTATACCAGCTAAGGATCTATACCAAACTCTTCAGTTAATTCTCTAATTCTCCTAATGGGATAACGTCCTCCTTAGTGTCAAGCACAGCACTGCTATGCTAGGGATAACAATTATGCAAGGGATATATCAGGCATCGCTCACTTTGCTACGTAAGTTCCTGTGCACCCAGGGCCTGCACAGACCCACAGTCGGAAGAAATCCTGCTAACAATGGGAAAAGCAGAGTTTGTCTTCACACCTGCCTCTCTTTTCAGGGACCTGTGTTTAGGAGCAAGGATCAGCTCCTTAGTTTCATGGTCAGCACTACTGAGATGAGAACGCTAGACAAATGGAGGGTTGCTAATTTTCCTGACAGAACACCATTACTTGGTCTGTCCGTTTGGGGAAGCTGCCAACCCTAGACACACCCAAGGAGCCAGTTCGTTCCTGGTGCTGCAATGACCTTAATGGGTTTGATTAAGAGATGAATCTGGCCCGATGTCTCTGGGTAACTGTGGGACCCTAGCTTCAAGACCTAGCTTCATATGCTGAGGCAGAAACCTCAGCTTTCTTGGTGGCTGCAGGTTGGCTGAGGGGCATCGACTATATTTTATCTGTTCTGTCCTGACTTTTTAAAATACACCCAAACTTCCAATCAACGCATGTTTCCTCTACCTGGGGGGCTTATCCGGCCACTGCTCTGTTGTCTTTGTAGATACTCTTTATAGCAAACCGAACACATTCCATTGGTCCGAGGGCTGCCGTAGAATCCACAGCCTGTAGTACACAGCATAGGCACCTGTGTTTGATTCGTTTCCTGGGCCATTGTCTCTCTTCCAATGCACTCAGCTACAAAGCAGGAACAAGAGAGATACAGCAGTTATGTATCAGCATGACACTTCCTTGTACACTGTGGCTGACCAGGAAGGAGATACACAGTCCCTGAAAGAGGTGTTATGCTCCTATACAAGTGTTTGCTTAATCAGGGCTGGCAGCAAGGGGCCTGAAATGACCTCCCCTGGCCCAGAAAAATCCCTCATCCAGGAACAGTCAGGCCCTGAGGTTGCCGGACCAGGGAGGTCCAATCTGTAGGATGGGTTTGTTATGTTTTGCACTTTACAGCTTTCATTTTCAGTTATAGCAAGTTTTACTTTCTGGTACTCATGCGCTAGGCCCAAGGCTGTGATATCTACCTTGGAAAATATTGCAAAAAGTATGTTTAAATCCCAACAAATATCTGTGTTCTCTGATCAATTTCCTTGAGCCCTGATGGGAGGGTGCTAAGAATGTGAATAGAAGAGAATTCCTATTATTACTAGGTTTTGTAAAACCCTGAACATACACAATTTTTGGCCAGCCTTTCGCAGTTTTAAAAATTCATGCTCAAATTAATTTCACACCTGGGCACTTTCACTTTCAAATGTGCTACATTATTTATGCTCCCAAATGGCACTGAATTATTTTAAGTAAAATACATAAGCAGCAGCTCCTGCAAATAAAAAACTAGTGAGACAGAAGGAGAAAAGAAATACATGAGACAGCCCAGATAATTAACTCTTCCTATTGCATAGGTGAGATTCTGCTGTCTGTTATGCTGTTGTAAATCTCTAGCCAATATTGATTACAGGATAGATACTCTAGATTTAAACTGGCTGAAAAGCAGATCAGAATCTGGCCTTGAGCTACTCGCACTACAGTAAAGCAATTCTGACTCAGTGGAAGCAAAGTCTTTAAAAACTGCAACAGGAAATTCCACTGTGCCCTTGCCAAAGCTTGTAGAGTGAGGGGGACAGAACACAGCCCACAGATGTCCCTCCATGCAGCATGGTTAGAACTCTGTCAGTTTGGGGGTGAAGGGGTGGATCAGCGGATGGGAGGGGAACTGAGCCAGTGCTCCAACACAGCATTATCTTTAGCACGAATGTGGCACTTCCACACGCCCCCACAGGAGTTACTGCTGCTTCATTCAACTTGATGGAAGGATCCCAGTGGCCTTGGGAGAGCCATGTGCCTGCAAAACCTTCCCCCAGGGGGAACAATGTGTTGCGAACAAGGAACACTTCCCCTCCCCTGAGGTTTTCTGTGGGAAGAGAATGATTCAGCTCTCACTAGCTCACTCCTCTTTGTCCTCAGCTGGGTGACTAGAGTTTCTTTAATATTACCCTGCAGCTTTCCTTTACACAGCACTGACTGGCGCTGCCCTTCCCATCAAGCGCATGCAAATTCTATGTTCAGTGGACCTCCTCCACACTTGACTATCCAGATGTTGCCCTGTGGATGAGATTAACTCAGATCACTTTGGGTTATGAATCTTTTTGCACCAAGATGCTAACAGCGGTCAGGGTATAGTCATCAGAATGACTTGATGGTGCTTCTCTCCCATGCTGCTTCCTGGATAAAACCTTCCCCACCCAAAAAACTGGGTCCTTTCTCAGATTTCTGTACCTGACCTTTCAAGGAAGTCACCTTGGCTCAAGAGCTGCTCCAGCTGCTGCTTCCTGTCTGGCACAGAAATCACCCCACTCCTACGAGCTGCCTTCTGGCAGGGAGAACAGGGCAACATGCAAAATCCAACCTAAACATAAGGGATGAAAGTTACGGTTACAAAACACACCCACCAAAGGGGATCACTAGTAAAAGCTCTTCCATGAGTAAAAAGAGCAGCACGTGGGGGTGTGCGTGCATGGAAGGCAGGGGGGATGGCAGAGATCAGTAGTTTAATCTGCAGATCCAGAGTTTATTCCCCACAGGCACTCCCATGACTCTCTGAGCTCTGGGGCACATGGTGCATTTTGTTCTGGGTTGCGTAACACTGTGTATGCTTAGGGGGCTACAGAAAGGCTTGGCGAAGGAATAAACAATGTACTCCGCAAACAGGAGGGGAACCGAGAGGGGATGGTACTTTACAAAGCCAGCCGGGGAGGGTAAAATGACCCCACTGAAATGGTCTGCTTAACAATGTCCGCTTATTTTCAGTCACTTGTTCCTTCCAACTTTTTCGGTGGGGGGAGGAATGCGGCCTAGTGGTAAAGACAAAGGACTGGAAAGACAGAACCGCCCAGCTCCAGCCAGGGCCGGGGAGTGAAGCCTGGCCTTTCACTGGGGCAGGGAGGCATTGGGAACTCGGGACCGCTGGGGTCTGTTTCCAGCTCTGGGAGAGCAGCGCGGTGGGGGTGGGAGGCCGGGGCCGGGCTCCAGCAGGGGAAGGGGACGCGGGACGTTCTCCCAGCTCAGGCCACCAGGGCGGTGAAGAAGCGGGGAGCGCCAGGCGGCGGCGGCAGCCCAGGCCCAGGGT